ATAATCGAAATTTACTAAGTTCGATCGAATTAAAGGAAGAAAAATCATATGAAAAAATCGGGTCTCACTCAAAGCGACCGAATTATCGGAAAGGTCGAATTATGGGGGGTCGAATTATCGGCAATCGACTGTACAGTGAACATATGTGAATTTCCTAAACATATGATTCTTGGTTCAGTGGTTGTTGATTTCCTTTTGGAGATGTTTACGTACGGTCACGTTACTGTGACTTTTTAGGAAAGTATTACAAGATCACGCGTTGTTTACATGCTGGTAAATATAAACAACAAGAAGATAATCCTTCTACTAATGTTAATACTAACATGCATGAAACGATACAGTAATGCAGTGAAAGTTATCCACTACCTTTGCATATCATCATCACCTCTACCTTTGCGTAGTGTATCATTCACCTCTACCTTGCATAGTGCATCATTCACCTCTACCTTTGCATAGTGCATATACTTTTGTCACTACTACTACCTTTGCATAGTGTAACATTCAGATCTTAATCCTAATATTTAGTAATATAGGAATTCTACCACCCCACCCACACCACCACCATACACAAACACACGCTGTGGTCAACCACAATGTTCGTTTTAATATCAGGAGATCTTGCAAGAGTCACTGGAAAACAACTACATGAGTGGTTATTAACAGTTACTCCTGTAAGATTTGTACATATTATTAAAAAAACAGACAAAAGGTGTAGTAAAGTATTAGTATGCTTTATTTAATAGTGAACATAATGAATTAAATCTGACAGTGCGTCTAATGATCAGGTATGGCCACGTTCACTTTTAATCACATACTCTGGCAAGTGAGTTTTTCCATAAAACGAGTGAGATGACGTACATGTTCGGACCGAGAAAGGTGCGGTTCAGTGCAGCAAAATTTTTCAACTCCGAAAAGCTAGTTGTTTATCTCAATCAGGTATGTTTGTTATTTGTACTCACTTTTGTTATTATCCCAATTAAATACATCATATAAAATTGACTATTTACCGTACTCTTTGTCATAACAGAACCTTCGTTATAGTTGCCCACGTACCGGGGCTAAAGAAAGACCAGCTGGAAATCGCTATAAGAAAATAACAATAAAACTATAACAATCGGTGATATCATACCATCATTAATAACTGGTCTGTTCGAGCTGGAAGTTGAATTACCAGAGACGTAAGTATTAGAAGCAGGAGAATAAGGCCGTGTTTACAGAATGGTACTGATGTATTTCTTTAGGGTAGACGTAAAGGCCGCCGTAAATGTATCCATAAATGAAGGTATCGCTACAATAATGCTGCAAGCAGCAAACCGAAGAAGCAGTACCTAGCGCGCTCGGATGACAAAGTTCGCGCGCTTATAGTAGCGACAGGCGCAGTAATAGCAAAACGTTTCGAAAAATCCGCGACAGCACAAATGCCATAATTAATTTATACTTTATGCAGTCTAAAAGCGTTTCACTTTTTCTGTGACGCTAAAAGATATTTAAGTACCTCAATTCAAAAGGATCATGTTGTATGTTACGTGTTGAATGCGAATATTAATATAAAAATAAAAATAAATACTACTGATCTTAGTAGAAATCATTATCAATATCCATTTAATTTCTATCGTCGAAATAATTAATTATTAGGCCGAACCCCCCAATAAACGGCTCACTTAAGTGGTAACGGAATAGCATTGATTTGATCAAGCTAGTAACTGTCCGTGGATAATTATTTGCTGGGTCAGAATAGTTGGCAATTTCTTCTTTTCAATTATCTGAAAGAATATCAGTAATATTTTTGCCACGTGAATAACGGAACGTTCATAATTAATTATCGAGACATTAATGTTTAATTAGTTTAGAAAGACAAGTGACGAATACCGACTAATCGACAAACAAATTGAAGACAGCCCTGTTTAAATTTTAAAAATAGTATTATTCCCTTTCGATTCTTTAATAGAATAATTGTTGTCATTATTCTATTAGAGATACCCTTATTTGTATTCACAAGTGTTTGAGAAGCGCGCATAATTAAAATAGGTTACTTGAGGCTTAATTCAGTCTTAATTGCACAACTATCATAGTAAGGGCGATAGTACGAGCTAAGCCTGGTAACATCCCCGGTCGGCAAACACACCTACGCGAAAGATAAATCGCTCTCCCAAACCCCCATTTAATTCCCGACCGTGCAAAAACATGCTTGTGATAAGTTTATTGTTCACAACAGGGGTTTAGTTGTAAATATAAATGGTTGCACATAGTTAAAAACCATAACTCTGCAATAAACTGAGTGTCTAATACTGTATGATAAAGTTTTCAGTTAAACATTAAACACCCACCATCAAATATTAAATTTGTTATTAGGAATAGTGTACATCACGATGATGTATACTAAAGATAAATCGGTAATTATTATTATTATTATCGTTTAGTAAAAACTCTAGAACAAACAATTTAAGTTTTATTCAACTCTTTTAATTTTTAATTACTATTTTAACTTCAATCGAGGTCACTTCTTAGGTTTTTTAACTTCAATATGAGCAGTTAGTTGAGTTTGTTGCTTTAATTGTTCAACCTCACTTTCAAGTCTTTGAATTTTGTCTAATAATTCTTGTTTTTGCTTATTATGCCAATTCTTTGAAACTTCCAGGCTTCCAAGTGAGAACTAATTTCTTCCTTAGCATTAGCTAGTTGCTGTTTTAAGTCTTTATTTTGCAGTTCCAATCTACCCACATAACTGATAACTCTGTGCCAAGTATTTTACAGTATTCTGAATAATGCCGTTTGTCCTGTTAAAGGAGAATGTGCAGATGGTTTCTCATGCTAGCGGGGGAATTTTTTATTTATCATATTTTCCCTGAGGCGATATACAAGTTCTTCTCTTCGAGAATATCAATATAGTCCTTCCACCTGCACGAAGTGTTGGATTAGTGGCTTGACAATTGAATTCTCAGGAAACAAGGTGATAACTTCCAACAGAAACAACAAAAATGTATTGGCTATGTCATGAGCATGCTGTGGGAATGTCCATTATAGAACAGTGTGACGAAAGAGTCTACCATCAAATTTACGTGATGTAACTGAGGAACGCTCCTTATCTCCATAATTTTGTTGAAGGGCACATTATTCACGAGAAAAATCAAAAGCTTGGTTGTTGTAAAATTCAATATTTAGTCAGCACCTGCAGCGAAAAATTGTTTTTTTTTGAAATCTTCAAAACATTTATTACTTTTTCATGTTTCTTATCTAATTACTGTATTGTTGTCAGTACGAATGTTTTATAGTTTTAATAAGTTTCGGCCATAATCAACGTTACGAGAGAAGTCCAGCCAGTGAATGGATGACTACAAGGATAGATAATAAAAGACATATAATTTAATTTTCACATTATTAATCCGATCGCGCAATTACGCGTTAATTTTTACCTTCTTTTTCCTCGACCGGTGCTGGATGAATATTGTTCCCAGACGTATCCAGTGCGCTTATATTCCTAATAATTATAATTTGTCAGCAACGAGGTGGACATAAGTGAATGACACGGATAATATATACCTTATAGACATTGTTAATGATGATATCCCTTAATTCCTTGTAAATAATCCTCGCCTTTTCTTGATATGGTCCTGGATCGGCTGCATACTTCTACATGTTACAAAATAGCAAGATAGTTAACATGTCGTTTGGGCTTTTGAACTATCACTAGGTTGTCAGCTTACCCGGTGAAGAGCTGATAACGCCAAGTAATTTATATTAATCCAAATAGGTCCACGCCAGTACTTTTCTCCCGTGTTAAAGAATTTGTCCGATTTAGAGAGTGACCTAACACCGTATGCAGACCATAGCTCGTTCGGGTCATGTATGAGATCAAGAATAGCCCCGAGTTTAGGTGAATCGCTTGGTAGGATTTCTAAGAGCATTGGGAATAATGACAAATATCCCTTGTGACAGACGTGGATTGATTCACCTGACAAGCAGTCGAATACTTAGTAACTTTTTTGTATGTATTTTAGTGTTGAACAGTGGACATGCTAGCATACCTTTCTCATCAACAGAGAGATCACAGAAGGCTTGATACTTTTCACTCCAATGCAAAGCTAATAGAACACATAATTAGTATTCAGTCATTCATTTCAACGATTTTTGACAATTCGTACCATGAATATTTTCTACTATATTATGATACTCTTCATCAAAGTCATCGTAATCGTCCTCTTCATTCAATTGCTCGGCTATATCCCTCAGTGACCTTGCCATGAATCCAACCCAGCATATCAGGTCAACGTGAAGTTCAGCTGGATGCGGAGGCGATGGTCGAGGATAATCGTCAAGACCTAAATGTATTGATAACCAATCGGTAAGTATTTTTATAAACTAACAGTGTTTGTAATTATTAGTTACTGTCGTTACCAGATGTCAAAGTATGCCCAGGCGTGCGACCTCTCCACCGATACGCTTCATGACTAGGGGCCTTTCTTCCCCAGCCTTTAATCTCTCCCCACTGAGTTCTTCTGAACCAACGATAATTAGCACGTAATTTATAATATATTTGTCGTAAGAATAGTTCACCCAGCTCACGATCATACAAATGTCTGTCTCTAATAATGGTCTGGTCATTTGTTGATATAATTTCACTGGGCAATATTTCCTGATTAATCACGTCTGCATAATTTTGCGAGCGAGTAAATAGTTGTTGAATGCGGTTGATAACAGGATAACTGATGTATAATTCTGTACACTACCGTTTATGTTTATATTGCCTTCCTTCGCGTTAATCATTCGTTCTATAAATGCTCTAATTGCCATCAACAATGTGGGCGGATTCGCGTAGTGAGGATATTGTGTCTGAAATTCTGGCGGCACCTAATGAAACACAATTGTCATTAACACTGGTACGCATTAAACTATACTTCCGCCCACAGAATGTGCTTACTTTACTTCGTGCTTCTTCTCCCAGTATTTGTTCACGTGCGACCCATCCATCATTGTCAATTAGAGCAACCCAATGCTTAATAATGTCAAGACTAGAAGTTTTAATAAATCAAAATATAGCTCTCATCATATTAACTTATTTAAAATTACGATATGAAAATACATACCTCAAATCATTATCCCACTTTCCAATGAGCATATTGTGAAAGCCTTCATCCCTATCAGTCAGAATGTTCAACGTTCGGTCATTGGTAACGTGTAGACAGCACACAAAAACCTGATAGATTGCAACATCTTGTTTCACGCATACCAATAAAATCCTCTTGGGAAAAATGGGCGTGATGGCGTAGCAGTAAATAATACACTTGGAGGAGTTAATTGCGGGTTTGCTGTTCGTTTCTCTATCCAAAACCCAACGTCATTTTCAAATTCTTCTTGATATGCTCTATCTACTATACTGGATCCGTAAAAGTATCCAATTCCTCCCAATAAGTTACTCATAATTGCCTTTGCGAATGATATTTGATCAGCATTAAAGCCTTTTGATTGCAATTGGAATGTCTGTTCAAAACGATCATCGAATGAGGATTCAAATGACTGAAGAGCTTCAGAGAAGGTACCAGCTGGTCAAAAACAATTCATTTTAGTTACAACTATTGATCGATATAACATATCTATTAAATGAAAGTAAACCGGATTACCATTAAGCTCAGATTCAGCTGATTCAGAATTAAAATAGATGTCAAACTATGAACAGAATAGTATAAATATAGTATATATTAACTGAATAAGATGACGCGTTCTAATATTATGCATTAATACTCACCTGGAATGGGGCTTCAAAAAACTTCTGAAATGCGTAAAAATTCGAATCTGAACGAACCCTATTCTGCAACGTAAGAACTGCGGAGGGTGGAGTATGCTCAATGTCTGCGATTACCCCGTCCTTTTCCTTAACTGTATCCATAATATTTCCAGCAATATAATCTATGGTACAAGATATGATTAGGAGCCAGCAAATTAAAAGAGTGTACAAAATTCCGTCATGCTTCCTTACCTTCGGCACGCCATATATCACCCTCTGGAATTAGACTTCCCCAATATTGAGTTTTGGATAAATCAGGAGTAAAGTTGTCGGGTATGTTACCAGGTATATTACTATTGGGACCTTATCACTTTTGGTTAATAATTGTAAAGCATGTTGATAATCGATTCTGGTCGTAATTGCAATTGCTTGTCAATTAGGTAGTTGCCTACGTACCATCTTCAATACTGATAGTAAACTTCCCAAGATCAGGAGAATCTCCATGAAGTCTGACTGGATTACTTATTCCCTGTTGAATAAATATTTAGTCCTTGCATTCTTATAACACTAAATGGCATTACGAGCATCTTATATTTTTACAATTCATACCCCCTCGTCTAATTCATTGACCAGATCAATAGTTCCATCTCCTTCTAATCCGAAATGATAAATTACGGATATTCTGGAGGGCCCATCATGTGTAGGCGTTCCAGATATTCTTACCCCCCAACTGCCGCCTGCATTCATCAGATTATGATTATTAGCATACGTATTACAGGTTGCACTTCACTTGAATATAACAACAACGTTAATTTGACTGTTTTTACCGTGCACACCGCCACGGACCTTTATGAATTCAGTTTTCAAGGTCACGTTATTCTTCTCGTCAGTCAGCGTCTGAATAGCAAGAGACCTGCCATCGTGTTTTTTATATCCATATTCTGTCAATCCATCGTTTTGATCGCATGCATAGCGTATCTCTATTGCAAAATATCAAATAAAAAACGCATCAAGTACATTATACCAATTTATCCTGTAACAAAATTTGCTCTGCACCATTCATCCCTGTCATTGCATCAATTATACAAGCAAATACCTTTCCATCCAACAAAGTCATTCACACCAAACCACATTAACCCAGACATAAGTGATTCTGGTACTCGCGTTCTTGTACCAAAGTAGAGATTAGGGCGATAAGTTCCCCAGAAGAGTGACTGATTTGTCGCATCCGCCGCGCTCTCTTGTATTAGAATAGCAGAGGATGAATCCGATGATTGTGCTATCGATAATAAATAATATAAAAGCATAAATACAGGTAGCCATTGTCGTTGATATATAACGCTCGACATAACTATTATTTCTTGTATAAAGAAATTCGCGGTCCCAAAAACCATTGTAATTGGTAACGCAAATCTTAAGTAACACAGCAGGATCGACTCCAAAATGCGAGTGTCGGAAATACGGCTTTAGAAATAAACAATTCACAATTCTTTTGAAGCAACAACTTGAGCTGATTTATTTATCGGCAGACCACTCAGTATTGTATGCTATTCCCTAACCAATTGACTGCACTGCGCTGTCGAAGCATTTGGCAATTGTAAAAATAGGCCGCATGAACGAGATTATATTTATTGAAAGCTGAAAACTACTGTAAGTATTTCTACTAGCAAACCAATTCGCATTTTTCACTTGCATTAGACATAATTATAGGTCGATAAGGTTATGCGTCATGCCATTGATTTAAATAAAAATTGTCATATTATGCTTATAATGTGGTTTCTCACTAAAAAAGACTATTTTATTTGAATTTACATACTCGCAATAATGTCCCGTGATAAGACGCGAAATATCTGTTGTCCTAAATGTAACTTGCAACATTTATTCAAGATACGAAGCCAGTAAAATGTGAGAAGCTAATCCTAGTATAATTTACATTGATGCGCCGAAAGTATAGTTAATGATTGTTAACCAAAATATTGATTAAATGCATAACTAGTCTTTGGAATAACTAACACTGAGGAGTTCTAATGCTCCGATAATACGTTGTTCAATTGACAGCGTTTTACTGGTATTCGAATTTTTGTCTCGCTGAAAGCGATATTGATAATTGAGAAGATTGTTCTACACATTTTTTTTTTCGAGCACAGCGATCAAATATAATCAATAGTTGTGACGCTTACTTTGTATTATTGCTATTCATTCATTTAAGAGTCATCTCCCCTATCAGATTGCATACGGTTCTCTTATGTTTAAATTAAAAAATAATCGTGCACTACAATAAATAATAATAGCCAATCCAACTTGTAAACGTAGTTTGCACATTATAATTCCGTTCGTAATATCAACACTGCATTTTATTTCACCCAGTTCCGAAGAACTTTACTCCCATCTCTTCTGCATTTGTTGCTTGCAATGTCTGGGCTTCTCCCTTCTTTACCAATACATCCAATGCTTTAAGTAACACGGCTTGATCAATCTCGTGAAATTCTGTTTAAGTAAATAAATGGAAATAACTGATCAGTAAAAGAAAAGTCATTGCTCATTCCTAGTAACTAATGATAGCCCTCATGTATGATAATAGGATCTTGCAAATCGTAAAGAACCCAACTATTAATACTCTAATTACCAGTTCCTTCCGATGCTTCTCCGTGTGCTATTTCATACAATGTCACAATTGAATTATTCAATCCATTTTCAGACACCTGCAATCGTAGAAAGGTTGCGAACGACAGGTAAGTAATAATCCTATATCAATATATCAGCGTGTTTACACACCCAATTGGATATACTCGTAGCCCATTCTTCAGGTTTTTTCCAATAAATAAATGCTGATGTCTTCTTGTTTGGTGGATCCCATTCTGCCAATCCTAACATCAAGAGCGCAAAATATAAAAGTCAGTTTATATACTAAAAAATTAGTAGCATTGACAACAACCGATCAGATGCTCAATTGAAACCTTGTTTAATCATCATCTTTATAATGCTTTGTAGTGTTTCTAGCTTCAGTCTCCCTACACAACTCACGTAAAAGTCAATACAAGCTGACACGATATGCTACGCTAACATCAACACCCTCTCTGCCAAGACTCTCGGCTTTCAAACTTACGATTGATTGATTTATTATAGAATAGCTCTGTTGTAAGCGCGTCCGATAGGTCTAGTCTATGTATTTTATAAAATCTACAATATGAGAGAATTATCGATATCCACAACTGCGCTTGCGTCTGCCATGTTGCCTCGTTTGGTTGTTGCCTACGATAAAAAAAGAAAATAATCCTCAGTAAGCTATTGTAGAGATATGAATGAGAATTATAACATCAATAGTCTCTATACGATGCATGAATGACTCACGTAAAGAAAGGAGGGAAGTTGTATATTGATGGAAAGTCAAATGCAGACATTGTCAGTTGACAAAAATTGACGTAACTGCAATATATCACATGTCATTCTTATTATATTTGATATGCACAGTCAAATGATCTTCCAATGTGTCGATGATTTAAAAACATGATTTCTCCTCCCATTTGCCGAGGACTGACTACTCTCAAACGAGAACTCTTTCATAAATCATTAGAAGTCGTCGGTATACGCGTTCCCGTAAACTCAATAGCAAATTTTCTAAAAGTGTTAAATAAGTTAGTTGATCATGGTTACATACTGTATAGAAACAATATTGTTGTATCATGGCTGACTCGATGATATGTTAGCGATCTGCTTAACCAACCAAAGTTGAGAAACGTTATAGAAGATCCAACATCAAAATCAACAAAAATTATCTTATTGAAGACAGAAGTAGAGAGTCTAGGTAATGCAATCGTCGAGTTACTTGATGATTCACTTGAACGCTAATGGTAGTCATTTCGTGTATAGATCTTGATAATCTGTCACATGAAAATAAAGAATTTGTCAAGAAGGAAGCTGTTGGGGTTGTCAAGCATACTCTCGAACTAAACTATGACTATTGGAGTGTAGGTAACTGTCAGGCCTGGTTTTATAGCCGGAATGTGTACAAAGTTGTGAGAATAACTTGTGTACGATCTTTTTTGATTCTCAGATGAAATATTGAAGGCCATTCTCCCTGAAGGAGATGAAATGCCATCATCATTTACGCAAGTCGGACATATAGGTGAGGAGTTGGATCAAAGGGTTGTTCGCCATTATAGTGTATACCTGCAGTAATATCATGCATGCTTTTCACATTACGCGTATTGATTGATACAGCTCATATGAACTTACGTGACGAATGGCTTCCATGGAAACGTATAATTGGTCAAGTGATTCTTGATGTATGTGAGTGTCTCCACTCAAAACAGAGAATGTGAATAATATTTGTCTAACTTTACACTTTACTATTGATAGAAAATTTCGACTATCAAGACCGTAGTCAATAAAGTTGACATAATCGATAGTACATTTCGTAATTTTCGAATGGAGATAATGGCTGGTGAAGACAATATGATCGCTGAAGTTGTACGTGTACGAATGTGTAATGCGTTATTTTCTATTTATGTGTCTGTTATTCACGTCAATTGTTGTCCTCGATTAGAAAGAGGGTAATTGTAGATTTCGCCTTGATTTCTCTAAAGTATACTGGAATTCACGCTTACATACAGAACACGATAGATTGGTGAAGATGTTTAAAAAAGATGAGTACGTCTGTAAGTATCATGCTGACCGCTAGCATTCATAAGTTTCTTGTATTTATCCAACCGTTATCCTTTTGACAGGTGATATATTTGCTGGTGTGGGTCCATTTGCAATAGCAGCAGCCAAAAAAGGATGCATTGTCTATGCAAACGATCTGAACCCAGCCTCATATAAATATCTGCAAGAGAATGCTGTGCTTAATAAGGTAGATACGATCAATGTCGTGTGTGCTATTTGTGCAATTACAATGTCAATGCTGACTTTATGCTGCTCGTATAGGTGCAAGGCAAGCTCAAAGCATACAATCTCGACGGTCGTCATTTTGTTGAAATGGCCGTACATGATTTATATGCAGCTTTGAATTCACAGTCCAATACAACCAACTCATCATCTCTTGCTGAGGGCCAAACTGTATTCAAGACTTTTAAGCATTTTGTGATGAACCTTCCAGCGACGGCTATCGAGTTTCTCGGTAATATATTGGGTATATTACGTGAAATTACCTCAATTTTGATTGCATTAATTGAATTTTATATGGTTATAAAGATGCATTCAAGGGACTATACAAAGACAAAGAAGCGCTTATTACCAAGCCGGATGACCAATTACCAATGATACATTGTCACTGTTTCTCTAAAAGTGAAGAACCAGAAAAGGATATTGTAAAGGTATCAGTCGAGGCTTGCGAATATTAATTGTGGGACGTAATCCACTTTACTGACATGAAATCATTTCTTTTTGCTCTCACATTTCAACATAGCGAGTGGTCACTGCACTTGGTTATCCTCTTCAGCCAGGATATAAGATTCATTTTGTAAGGAAAGTAGCACCAAATAAAGATATGTTCTGTATAAGTTTCAAGTTGGATACCGATGTTGCCTTTGGAAGGTGCGTTTAATGATATATTTGTGATACAACAATACAACTGTTGATGAACACGTTCTCATCGGGTGTTTATTATACTATAGTGCAAAGAGGAAAATAGACGGCTCAGATGTTGCTGTTCAAAATGATGAATATGACGATAATAAAGTCGAAGGAATCGCAAAGAAAGTCAAAATGGACATTGAATAAAGACTGTCATTTGTCATGAGCGAATAAGATTGTCTGCATTCAGAATATCCACATTTCGCAGTGGATTGACTTTACTTTTCCTCGAGTCACATAGTCGGTAATGGATCAGTTCCTTGTAATGTTGCAATCCTTTGTAGATTGTTCGACGTCCCGATTGATAATATTGGTAATAAAACAGGAAACCAAGCATAGAATACGTGTCCTGTACACGCATGGCAATCCTGCTCGCATTATAGAGAACACATAACGGTAAAGATCTAAAATGAAAAAGCAGGGCTTCATGTTATATTTTCGTATAGGCAACATTTCATCGCTATCGTAATACTAAAAGAATAAAGAGCGAAATAGGTGTCAGTTGACGAATGTCATCTTATCTGCATGAAAGAAGGGCTAATAATTGGGCTCATTATATATTAACAGGACAGGGAATGATTAGTCTATAATACCTCCCAATGAATGTATATTCAAAAAATAACTTATTCCGCAGACTTTTAAATCAAATGATTCCAAAGTTCTCAAGATCGCGCTTCTTAATAATAATTCTTTACTTGCATTGTGGATAAACATTAAAAAAGACATTGGACGTGTTTGGCTCACTGCAAATTATGCAGCAATTATTTGCTTTAGACGCCACATTAGATGCTTTGCCGTCGGGGATACGAATGAAACGTATATCGTCCGACGATGCATCCGAGTCAAATATGTAATATCCACGTCTCTCAAATTGAATTATATCACCTAGTTATAATGACAGTGGCAAAGAGCGTTAGCATGCAAGTTTAGCATTCATACTAATAAACTAACACTAATGCAATCGAACAATTTACCTTTCTTCAAATCTCTTACATTGCCGTCAGCAATCGCTTCGTCAAGAAATTCGGTCTTCGCCGTTAAAAAATCCTTGACATCATCATTTTCAGCTAGTTTCTTCTTATTGATTAAATAATCGTAATCAACCAGTTTAACCTTCGCTACATGTTCGGTGTCAGCTAACCATGTGATTTTCTTCTTTGTCTTCCTAAAATCACCCTCCAGGTGCAGTTGCAATTCAATAGTCGACACTATTTCAGGATTGTCTTCTGATTTAGTGATTGACTTTACTATGGCATTGCCCCAGTCCATTAAGGTAATCTAAAAGTCAACGTTCACAGATTTGACATTATTGATGACATTTAGTTGCTATGTCGTATAATAAGAAACTAATAACTGTAAACCACAGGATTCTAATGGTTAGTTAAATTACCTCTTCCTCAAGTCCAAACGTCTTTGCATCTCCTTGCTCAATGAATATCTCCGAGCTATAGGTGGTCTTCTTTGTACCAACGTCGGGGTTCTTTTTATGTTTAGGCATATCTTTTATATAAGATTCGGCCGGACCACCTGTAATCTTGGCCCGGACACTGAAACAATCGAATTTTAATATTATGCTTCATTAAATATCCTCACAAAATTGCTTCAAAAATACCACACTCACATGTTTTCAGTCAAGATAGAGGTGTGTCTTGGTGCAATAGGATCAATGACCTTTTTGTTAAGAGCCCAAAGTTTATCCCACTCTAACGTAACGTCGTTCTGCGTCGCTCCTTGCGTGAAAACGTACTACCTCAGTGTTTCGACCGTCAATCCCCTACGACGAATGCCACGAACAGTGGGAATCGAGGATCGTCCCAGCCTGTTACAAGACCTTCGTCCAAACTATTGTAATTTACGCTTTGATAAAAGAGTATATACAAAGTTCATACGACTGCCAGAGAAACAAGCAGTCATGCAAGGTAAATACTGATGGCCCCGTCGAACAGAGACTATTCAACTCTCTCGTTACCTGAAATCACGAATATGAACTTTTCGTAGTTCTAATAAATTGAGTATCCATTCATACTGAGGATTACGATCATGATATTCGTTTGTTCTCATTGCATGTGTTACTCCTTCAACCGAATCAACGATCGGACAAACAAAATCGTAAGTAAGATATACTTTCCACTTGTCACTATAAAATCAATAAAAGCAATATAGGTTAATAGATTTTTCGTGAGGTGTCATATTAATGTCTTAATGCTAAATGCTTTCAACCAGACCCACCCCGTTCAATTGTGATGTAACAGATTGCATCTGTATAAAACAAGGTCACGCAAGGCTTTATTGGGATTATTCATGTCAATCTTGGCTCGAAGACAGCATGTTTGACCCTATAACGATAAGAAAATAGAATTGCGATAAGCGCTGTATGATCTCTTGTTTTGCGCTCAGTGAATATACGGTTAATATGTCGCTTACAAACTCCGTCGCGTCAGTCATTTCTTTATAGAGTCTCAAGTTCTCTTCAATTGAACGGTCACGATTTGCTGACGGTATTCCATGCATTCTTTGGTATCTTATCTGTCAAATGACTGCTATCAGTGACACCATTCCAATAGATATAATTGTCATTGTCATCAATTTCGTACCGTCTCTACGTCAGTTTCATCGACATAGGCCAATCCTTTCTCACTGCGGTTCTTGAAAGTGGTCAGATGTATACGTCCATTGATCTGGATATATTTCCAACAGAGCTAAGTCCTCCTTCATAGAATCCTCGAATTCTTGCTAGGTTATATTCCAAAGTTTCTGTAGTTTAAACGTCCTCACTTTAACAGACCTTTTCTTTACTGGGGTTAGTCATCAAATCTAACAATCAATTTTCTTTTGCTATGTGCTGTTTCAACATTGCCGCTTTAGCATGGCCTATGTGTAAATAACCATTGGCCTCTGGTGGGAAGCGAGTGACCACTTCGCCTACTTTCGCGCGTCAACTAAGTCAATATTCATTTTTGCCTTTGTATATTGTCAGGGATATTGTCGATCGCTACTCTAATAGACGTTACCGATTCAATATGCCAACCAATGATATTGCAAAAAACTACTCCGAAATTTTTTGCTCATTCTATAAAGTATTTAGAATACTAAATTTACTCGATCTAAAAGTGGTCAGACTCAATAATAATAAATAAATCTAATAGAATTAATCCTCATTTAAACAGTTGAGATAGTACCAATGCTAGCATTATCAATTTCACGATGTAAATAAATACAGCTTCCTTGTAAGATATCACTACTACGAATTGATTCAGAACAGCATAGTATATACTTATTGGTAGTTAACTTAAATACAGGAACACATTGTTCTGAAGGAAGCACTATACTTGTAAATACACTATTACATCTTTGATTTGAAAACAGAGCTTTGTAAGCCTTTGATCGTATGATATATTTTGTAAACCTTTTGGCGTTTTTAAGTTCAAATTTGATTTCACCAGAAACATTATTCTGCCGTCTATCTGCAATAATACTATTAATTTTAACTTGTAAGTAATCAATAGAAAACCAAGGCCTCAAACAGTAATATAACGCATACCAGTAAGCAATTTTAATGTTTTCTTGCGGCAACTCTTCTATTTGGTAAGAACCGTTATTACTACGTCCGTAGGCTGTTATGCGTAAAATAAATGGATGATGTTTTGCATAACATTAATTAAATATAACAGATAGTAGATATCGAAATTATATACTTACCAGAGATGCATACTTCAATATTATTGGTACCATCCTTGTGAAGGTGCATTGCAAATATCATATAATCGCCAGCACCAGTTGGCTGCTGTGTTACATAACAAGTCATTAAGACAACGCTTTGATTAAAATCTGGATTCCTTGGCAATGAAGCAACAATCTTATCATCTCTCTTTTCTCCGTCAACAACATCAACCTCAACAGATAATTCATCAACTGTTTGGGAGATGAATGATTGTGGATATCCCGTAATAATGTAGGCTATTTTCAACTTATAGCAGCTCTTCCTAAATAACTTGAAAAAACTTTTACTTCCTCGAACTTTGGAAACATGTATATTTGGTGGCCCAATTGCCTTTTGTTCAATATTCACTGCAAATATTGCATCACTCTTGCCATCACACATGACTTCTGCAAAAATTTGATGCTGCCTAATTCCTTCCCATACATCAGAATTGATTTTTAGTGGACGCACACATGGATATGTCTTTTTTAAAAGCTTCAATTCATTAATCCCATGATAGCATATTCTTGGTCCAAATGCTTTGATAATATCATTTCGCGTAGTTTCTTCAAAAAGTTCAAATATTGGGACTATATCTTCATAATCTACTACCTTCCAGGTAAAGCAATCTTCGAGTGTTTCAATCCATCGTTCTTAAGAAGGGAGAATTAAATTTAGTGATATAACTAAAAAAAACGTTTCGGTTTATAAAAATTTCAATACCTATATCATCTTCACGCTTGTAAGCTGTTTCGTCTCCACCAACAACTGTAATATTCTTGTCCGAATTGCTTGATGAGTTTTGGTTCAGCGTTTCATTATTCCGACTTATTCCACCATTTATTTCCATCGGTGCTGTTCCCAGCGTGGCATCAATGCCTATTGTCCCACCAGCCGATTGAACAGTGGTTTCTTTATGCTCTTCCTCGTCTTTGATAATCAATCCTCCCAGTTGTACTGTTCTCGCCCAAAAATGCCCATATTTCTCGCAAACTTCATTCAGTGCGTCACGTCTCTTCTTTTGACTTCCCAACTCCAAAGCTTGCTTTACTTCATTCCTGAATTCATCAGAAGGTGCTATATGTTCTCTTTTCATCAATAATGTCTTTCGACTATATCTTTCGAGTATCCGGCATGATTTATGTTCAACTCCTTCTGATCCCTTTTGCGCTAAGTGTGCGCCTATCGAGCCGGTAAACGGTAACCTAATATCATCAATTGTTATTATGTTTATGTATTAAGCTATCTAGCGAGAGAAATTCTTACCATGACATATTCAAATCAAGTTTCCATTCAATGCCATTATCACAGAGTTTCTTGTTACTTTTTTCAAACTTACATCTATATTCAGGGCGGTGTGTTCCAAATTCATGTCTGTTAAACTTGAATGCTATGTTATCAGACTGTTTTGGTCCATTTTCAGTCCATCGAATGCCACAATTTAACTTTTTCTCTTTAATTAAACGAGGTATTACTTCTTCGTGTTTCTCGCTTAGCTTAATGCAAAGACTATTGTTATCACCGAGTATCTCGCGGAGATAAATAGTTGCTTCTTCGCTCCTTCGTATCTCATTCGGGCATCCTTTGTTACAAAAGTACATATCGAACTTCATGATGGATTCGCCGTTTTCGCCATTTTCGCCATTTTCACATTGAGAGAGCACCTTACGGATTTTCTCGAGCGTCATTGAAGTATTTAATCTTGTCGCTTTCGGCTTTTCCGAATGTGGGCAATTGAGAAAATTTATATTAACCAGTCTCCATTTATTAAAAATGGTGTCCATTTCTAGTCTTCTTATAAGACAAATTAATTTGTGAGGGAATTATGTTTTGGATCCAAATCTCTCAGTATTATTGTGAACGAAAGGAATATGTGACTAATGTACACCATTGTGGTAAATTGTCAAGCGCCATGGTAGCACTACTCTGATGAGAATGTTACTATTACTATGTTGCACATGATATATTAATACTCCAATAATGACAAATCCGATAATTATGTTAATAATATGCCTGTTTGCCTACCCTCTCCTTTTCACGGAATGGCCACGACAAGTAGCATAATCGAGTATTTCAGATTAGGTCACGGTTTAGTGTTTGATCAAGACGGTGTGCGTCTTGCGCATAAGTGTGTAGTTCAAGCGAATTGGTCCATCGAAAAATCACCAAAGACGAGACCCTCCGTACAGCTTATAAACATTCACACAATACAAGATACTTATATATATGCAAACAACCTTGCACTTGATAAAGAGAGCCCTCTCTTTCGTCCCCCGAAACCATTTTCTCGTTTTAAAGAAAACAATCCTTTGTATGATGAGACGCCTGATAAGGCGGTTATCTTCCGAATAGACAAAGAATTATGGAATATCAATCTTATACAAAAAGATATCAAACCGACCGATGAATTCGTTGAAGCAATTAAGAAGGCGATTGAGCATAATACGCCGCATAGAGCATTGGATGATATATTTTCTGAGTACGGATATTGGATGAATTGCAAAGTTAAAGTGGGCAGCAGGTTACAACGCTTTACTCAATTCGAACTCGGAAACGGAGACGATCACAAGGATGTTGAATTACGTCAAACAGAATGGATCGGTAGTGAGGGCTTGGGTAAGTATTTAATTGAACTGGAAATCAACAACTCCCAAAGTGCTAATTTCGGCGTTATTATTTAAAGATTCCGAAAATGGTCTATACAATGAATGGTCAAAGAGAATACATCCCTTTAAGAGCAGCTACTTACTTTCCGCTGACAATTCCTTAAACAATTCCTTAATAAAAATCGAGTAAGAATATCACCCTTTGAGTTTTTGAATTTTTTTTCCTAGCAAAATTTAATACATATTTAATATGCTAATAGGAAAATAGGTGAATGGTTAGAATACAGTTCGAGAACATCTAGCCAATGGAGTGTAATTGAAAGGGCCGACTTTATTCCAACTTATAAATTGCTAGATGAATCTTTAATTAACAAGATCGAAAAGTTATTCGGTGATGAAACGGAAACACTCATGACTGGAAAAACACCGATAAATCGTCAGTATGCTGATCTTTGTCAAGTCAAGTTCTCTCAACCGCTATTGAATGATGTATATAAAGTTGATGGGGAAGTCTACAGCAATGGGAAAAGATGCGATGTAGCTGTAACACTATATTCTGCCAGCATTTATGGATTTTCTCTCGAAATTGGCTGGAGTAAACCTCCGTAAGTTCTTGCTGTATAATGTCTTGCTAGTACACTACTGCGCTTTCTTCTCTAAAATTACTGCTACGAATTTAGCAAAGAAGTAAAAGGTATTTATGTCAAATGGAAGTTGTCGGGAAATAGTGCTAGGATTGGCCCTTTGAAGGTTGAGACTTGTGAAGACAAACCGCAGGACAGAGAACCGTATATTGAATTAGATGTACCTCCTGCAACAACATTGCAATTAGACGAAGTCCGACAGAAAGAGGCGAAAGAAGAAGATAATGATATCGCGCTTGATAATGATGGCGACGACAATGGTGATGACGGTGATATTGGTGATATCGAAGAGAAAAAAGAAGATAATGATATTGCACCTGATAATGATGACGACGACAATGATGATAATGTTGATGATATCGAAGAGAAAGAAGAAGAAGAGAGAGAAGTCCATACCGGATCAGGCCTACCTCATCATAGTCAATCAAGTAAAAATCTTGTATCATTGCGACCATTACCAATGAGTTCTTCTGAGGTGAAAAGTTATCCGGCTTCGAGGGATCGACAAACGAAACCGTTATCACAAACGAAACCGTTATCACAAACGAAATCATCAGCCCGACGAAAAGAAGAAGAGAATAAAGAGAATACACTTAACAGGAAGGGCGTCAGCGAATTCGGTTATGAAAATCTCCTTACTTATGGTATCAGCTCAAAGCCGTTTCTGACTCGGCTGAAGAAGCAGTCTTTTAATCACGAAAAAGTTGAAGAGAATACAGACGATAATTACACAACGGCATATGAGGTATAGAAAGCGAACATATGCTAAAATTCTCCATTTACTTATTTATAACCATTACAAGTTACTTTGTAGGAAACTGAAAGCTCAATTCCCATTGCAGCTGACTTGATGCGTTTTAACTCGACAACCAGCCACGTAGCAGACAACTTTCTCACAACGGGTGTTCCCAGTGCTCCTTCAATGATCTCTTCTACATCAACAATGAGCAACACCATAAATCAAGGCAGTTTTCCTAAAGTTATTCTTCAATTAATGGAACAAGGGCTTATGTCAGCAGATGAGCAAATAAAAGAATTGTTGACAAACTTGAAATATTCTCAGAATATTTATGCACTCAAATACATTCTTGAACATAAGGGAGATTCTGTGTCAGTAGTGATGTTACATACGGCTTTGGAGAGTTTATGTTCTCAAGAGTTTGATAATGTGTCTTCAGGAGAAACGATTATGAAATTGGAATGGCAATTACGAACCGTTACGGCTATACTGGGGCAATTGTGTGAGCGTAAATGTACATTTACAAGTCGGTTTCTTGATGACATTAGAAAAACTACCTCCATGTACAAAAGAATGAATGAAAAGATTATGCAGCATGGAAGAAATTTTTCGAAGTCTAATTGTTCAGAATTCAATGAACCGGGCGAAAATGTCAAAAGTTTTAAATGCAATTATGACAATAAATATCTCTTCAAAATTATTAAGAACACATTAAATAGTATTTGTGGTGATAAGAATTACCGACAAACAAATTTAGATCGGGCCATTGCAGCATTAAAAGCCCTACTTGTTGCTGTTCCTGGATTAGCTAAAGTTGGGATTAAATTAATAACAAGAGCTGATGTCCCTCTTGGTGATTTTGACTTGGAGAGAGCATGGAACTATTTTACAGAATCATTGAATGTTGAATCATCAGGTGAACCATGGTACACAACTTGGAGAAGACTTATCAAACTACAAAAGACTCTTGATGAATGGAGTCAGGAAAAGGATTGT